GACGCCTATATTCTAGTGGGTAAAGGTCTAGTGAACGGAGGCGTTCTTCGTAAGGCTTAGATTTGAGTCCTCGAACTGATTTCGTGGCTCGCCGTTGGATACGCTCCAAAGTGACCTTGTCCTTTTGGAGTGAGGGGGGAGTACTATGTTTCCGTACTCTAAAAGGGGACGGATGAAACTATTGAAGATTGTATGGAAAGTTCGTCCGTCAAACTGTCCAAAAATGCGCTCAACGTTACCAGTGCAAGGTTTGCTCGGAAGGCATTTTTGGCCAGTTAGCGTAAGACTTTAAGTCATGGGGCACCAGGACTCCTAAATCTTTTTCGACTTGGGATACTACTAGAGAGGAGTTTCCTAAGTTGTAACTGTAGTTTGCGACATGTCGCAGATGGACTACTTTACACTTTGAAGTGTTAAAGGTAAGTCCGTTATCGTCTGCCCAACTTTGAAGTCGCGTCAGATCCTCCTGAAGTGCCTGTGTATCGTCTTGGTTGCGTATCTCTCTCCAAAGTTTCACGTCGTCGGCAAAAAAGTAATAAGTCTGACGTTACCTGTTGAGGAAGATCAATTATGTAGATCAAGAAGAGAAGAGGCCCTAGTACTGAGCCCTGGGGGACCCCCACTAGGACATTCCATAGCTTGAGATAAAGTGAAATTAACCCTAACCTTAAAGTGTCGATTTTTTAGGTATGAAGTAAGCCAGTCGATTAGAGGTGGTTTGATACCTAGTCGTTTGAGCTTGTTGATAAGACACACGTGGTTAACCTTATCAAAAGCTTTGAGAAATCAAGGTAAATGACATCAACCTTTCCCTTGCAATCGAGGATGCTTGTCCATTTGTCCACCGCAGTCAGCAGGTTGGTTATACAAGAGTAACCCTTCCTGAAACCATGCTGTTGGGGTGAGAAGAAATTTAAGGACCACGTAGATAGTCATTTAAACCGTCGCATATCAGGGACTCCATGAGGTTTGAAGGTAATGACAGAAGAGCCACCGGCGGAGAACTTGAAGGTTCACTGCGTCGACCACCTTTGAAAATTGGTGTGATGTGAGCCAACTTCCAATTTTCCGGTAATTTGCCTCGGCTAAGCGAGTGTGAAAACATCACGCTAAGCGGCGTTGCCAGGATTGAGGCTGCCTCCCTTAGTATGGCAGGATGAACCATATCCGGGACAGGAGAAGTGTCAAGTCTTAAGTGCTGCAATTTCCGGAGCACCAAGTCAGCGCTTAGGTCCACTTCAGAAAGTCCTGTGGAGTTGGAGATGAAACTGTCGTCAATAAAGTTGATGTCAGCCGGTTGAAATGTTTGAGAGTAATGGGCCGCCAGAAGGTTAGCGGCGTCGCCATCGTTGTTGGTCGGGCCGTTAAGACCTAGCAGTTGAGAAACTCCTGTTTTGGCTTGACGAAGAGAGGCTGCATAACGGAATAGGCTTCTAGGGTTAGAGGCGAATTCGTCCATAAGCTTTGTTTGGTACTGAAGCCTGTCTTCTCTTATAGCCTTCGTGCATGTGTTCCTGATATGTTTGTATTGCCTATGCGCTCCATCGTTATTAGTTCGTTTGTATTCCGCCCAAAAAGTTCCGTTTGCGGCTTAGGATGCGAAGGGTACGGTTCTTGATTACTGTAGGTGGCTTGAAGCTTTGGGAACCGTTTGAGGAACTGAATGGTCTGTAGCACATAAGAGCTTGTGCAGTAAGAAGTCCCAATGACCATCCACATCGAGTTGAGGGTGAACATCCCAAACCACCTGTTGTAGATAGTCATGTAGAGCTGGCACATTCAGCCGTTTAAAATTCCAACGCAAATTATTCTTGGGATACCTTAGCTTAGTTGTCGACTAGGAATTCTTCGTTAGTGAATACGCAGTCTAAGCGCGATGGTGTCTGACTGTTTCTCCAACGAGTTGCCGACCTCACATTTTCATATAAGCCCAAGTTATCGATGAGGTTGAAGAACCGAGCTTCAGTTGAGTTGTCGCCTCCAGTGTATGTGTGTTCCGCGAAGTTGACTCTAGGGAGATTAAAGTCCCCTAGAATCAGGATGTGTGTGAAACCGAGACGGATAGAGCGGGATAGTCCTTCCAGCATACGACTATCGTACTCGGTGTCGGCAGTTGGCTTCCTGTAAATGACTCCGACTAGACACCTGGAAGTACTAGACAATCTTACGGAGCACCATATGGATTCCTCAAGATTGTTAAACTCGAGGTTGTGAACCTGGTGCACCTCCAAGCAAGAGCTTATGTATATGGCTACTCCGCCCCCAATTCCTGTTTTTCTGTCGTTGCGGAACAAAGTCATCCCAGGCAATGCTAACTCTTGGTCCGAGAACTGAGAAGATATCCAGGTTTCAGATATTCCTATCAGATGGGCCTTATTAGCGTTGCTAAGTTCACGTAGTTCATCCAGTTTGTTTGGCAGACTCGCGGCGTTCATATATAAGCAGTTTATGCTTTCAATTTGAAACGCGTGAGCTTCGTCCTGTTTTTCTGTATGAACCTTATGTGAATGGACAGGTAGCCCACCTATATGAGGTTTGCCGAGGTGGTAGGCCCTGTCCTTTACACGTTATTTTATCGTTTAGACAGTCCACAAGTGGAATGGTCAGCTCCAACTTGCCTTTGTTCTTGGTTCTAACTTCGTATGGCCTATCCGGGTGCATGTGGATTCCAGGTGGCAATCGATGTCTATTAGCACGAAATGCTTCCAGAACTGCAGCCGCCATGTGGGAAGATGGGAAGGTTATCTTCATTAGACGGGGTCTAAGATCACCGTCCTTCTTGGCTAGTCTCGTCACATGCTGAGTCAGTATGTGTTTGAGCCTCAAGGACTGTTTGATGAATTTCCATTCCCTGATGTCAGAATTTGATTGAGTAGGGTCTGCATTTTCCGGTATACCTTGGACAATTATGTTTCTTCCGCGGAGAAACTTCTCGCGAGACTCTTTAGGGGCGTTTCGTATGATACAGCGTTCAGAGTACGGTATGTCAGGCAATATTCTTACGTTCCCATCTGATTTCAGCAAGTGACTTGCTAGCAAGCCGTCCTCTACGTCGGTAGCATACTTAAGTGTTACTCGGAGAAGCCTCGGGTGATTTAGATGCTTAGAATCCTTTCCTCGAGGGCGCTGGGTGACCGTCAAAGGCTCTATTCTAGGAAGTTCGAGCTTCTTCTTCGATTCACCCCAGAGCATCCTGTCGTTTTTGTCCTTCAGACTGAGAGGAAGATCAGGATTGTCAACGAGGTT